CAAGGGATATTGCTTATCAAAATTCATTAATCAATTCCTGTATCTTTATTATGAAAAATGTGTTCTTCAAATCTCAAAGCATTCTACTAGGGTTAAAAGTTTTAAAGTGGCTTCAAAATTAACCTGTGTTGGAGTAGATGTGGGTTATAAAAAGTGATATCTTAGTGTATTAATGAATATGGACAGTGAGAGCATTCAATACGGAATACCATTGTCCTCTGAAAATTGTCCTTCATTTATAGATTGTCAAGGATGCCAACTTAAAACTTAGTAGGATTGAACCTGGCCATACATATATGATGCTCTTTGCATACATTGAGATTTTGTTATAACTCAGATATATATAATTGGCTAATATTGATAGCCAAATTGAGTAGCTGGGTAATTACTATTCTACTTCAAAAATGGTCAGTAGATTAGTGAAATTTAATTATGATTTTTTAAAACAATCATGTCTCTGTTCATAAAGGTCATCCTAAAGGTAAATTAATAAATATTTAAAAATTCACCCCTTTAATAAAAATGTATGGTACTCATGTTTCAAACTTGTATAAAATAATGATAAAATATATCTGTATAAACAAAAAGATTATAGCTAAAACACTTGAGGCTCAATGCTTTTGTTATCTATAGGGTCTTGACTCCATTGTTCTTCATGCTTTATTTAGGAAATTATAGTCTTGACCTTCCAGCTGTATGCTTTACTATGTTCCAGCAAATAAAACCTCTAACAATTTGTAGGGCTTGGAACAAGTCAGTGTCAGATTTTATTATTATAATTTTTCCATGGGGAGTATCTCAACCTGGATATCTTTAAGACCATGTTTCTAGCCAGAAAGCATAATTCCAATAAGCGACTGGTATTAGAAAGGAATTTTTGACAGACTGATTGATTGATGGGTGGATGTTTCCTCTCAATTTCCTGCCCTAGTGAAACTGCTAACTGGGAGTTGATCACAGTACATTTAACAAATGCAAAAGTGGAAAAAAAGCTAGTTAATTGACAACCAGAAAACATATATCTCTTTATGGCTGAAGAATCAATATTGTAGTTGAGTTATCCTGTGCTCACTTCTCTTGGACCAGCAGGTATTTCTGTTTATTTTACATCTGCCTATCAACCTGGTCACTAATACTTTTAGAATGGTAATCTTAAAGATATATAAAATCTAGGATATTGGTTATATATAATGGTAAAAAAGGGTAACTTACAAATACCTTTATTTGATATCATGTATCTTCACAAAAGTGAAGAGGGACAGACAAGAAATGGAAAGCCAATTTCATGAATTCTCTGAATTTCAGAATCCATGCCTACATTTCTATTACAAATATGAATTTATTAAAGGTCTTAATTTTTTTGACTCGCATAATACACAAAAGACTCCAATCTCCTTGTGATTTGAACCCATGCACTTTTCCTCAATACAACTGTAGTTCTGAAGGACAAGGTTTGTGTGGCAAGAAAAGTCAGAAATATTAAATAAATACTGACCTTTGCCAACCCTACATCAGCATTTACAATGTAGGAGTTAAAAGAAAAAAAAAACCCAGTCTCACGTTTAGACAGACAGCAGTTACTCAAAAGTTTTGTGGAACTTTTCATTTACACCACTCTAACATGATTTGCATTTTTTAAAAACTCGGCTGTGAGTGCTTAGAAGATAATCAGAATAATGCAATCATAAAATGGCCTGTAAAATGACGAAATTCTCAAGTCAGAGCGCTAGGGGAGGAGATTGACAGGAGACATAGAAATAAATCCTTTGAAATGTAGATTTCTGCTACACTAATGTTTATTTTCTCAAAGTCATGAAATAAAAAAAATCAACATGGTTTGTTTCAAACCATATGCAGAGGTACAGTTATAACTGGGAAAATTATTCTCCAGTTTTAATTCAAGATTATTAAATATGTTGAATGCGAACCTAATTTATTTAATAAACCTAAATGGGGTTTTCATTTTAGATCTTCTTTTCTTGTGGATTAGGTTATTTTGTACTCACTTATCTACATATATGGTGGGTTTAGATTGTGGAAACAATAGTTTACATGTCACATCAAATGGAAAACATAAAAATCCCTTTCAAGTTAGAAAAAACCACTTTATTTAAAAACTGGTGCATATATGAAATCTAGTTGGTGAATTTTAAATTAAACTACACAAATGCATGAAATGTGAGAATCTCGAATGGATCTAAAGTAATCAGAGAATAAACATTACCGATAGGTTCCACTGTAATAAAGGAGGTAGGACATAATATCTCTGAAAAAGGATGGATAAGGATGAGAGAACATGCACTGGCTCTCTATCCCAATGTAGTATAGTCCTATCAAGCATCAGGCCTGAGGAAGAATATAATTTTTAAAACTGCAGTAGTGGATTAGTATGTTTCAAACTCAGTGTCTCCATAGAATTGTAGGTGACATGATATGAATACCAGCATTATTGACTGCTGGACAGGCAGTGGATGAGTTCTCTTTGGCAGTTCAAATCCAGCCCTTGAAACTGGTATTGTTTATGATTTTAATTGCATTGGTTTTGGAAAAACCTGGAAAAATGGAGAAGTCTATGGAGGTCATTGCCAGGTGACACATAAGGAACTCCATCAGTGTCAGCCACATCTCCATGATGACCCTCTTTGTCCACTGGTTCATAATAACACCTATTTTCATCTTATACCAAATATGCCTCAAATGTATTTCTCTGTATGTCCAAACCACAAACACCAGTACTTTAAGTAGAAAATAAAATTAGAAAGAAGAAATATTTGCTCTTCAAACATGGGGGGTTATGTTATTCTAGACAGAGAAGTTCAATATTAGTCTTACCAAGCATTTCAAATTAGCTCTTATAGAGGCAGGACTCTATGTTCACTTTATTGATGAGTTCTTTGCTCTGTTCTCTAGAAGATCACCATAATTTAAAAACTGCCTATAATAATCACTTCCCTATACTATTCAAAAATGCTGTCATTGAAATTATATCTTCTGGATTTGAATCAAGTAAAACATGTGATAAGTAAAAAGAAAGTAAACTTAGCTTAGGTTCATCCCAGATGGGTTGTTCAAATTCAACATTAAAAGGCAGTAACTGCTCTTAGTCTGGAATCTGTGGGCCTCATGGTTTCTGAGATGTGAACAGTCCTTTATTTTATGGAAGGAGCTATGTGGATGATTTTTGAGCGGGCATAATTAGGAGAAAGATGGCAAAGTAAGTCAAAAGGGTTATGATTTTATTTTCAATGCATTATGATGGAGTAATTTGATAAACATTGCTCTTTTTGCAGTTATCATTACTAAGAAATGGAGAAAAGCAGAGCGAGGATAAAGAATCAGTGCTAATTAAAGTCTAGAGATCCTAGAGTAGTCATCAGGAAGCACTGTCACTGGATGTAGTCTGTACTTATATTAACTTCGTAGTGTCTAGAACACCTGTAAAAGACATGGATGGTTTCAAACAAATTTGTGGAATTGCATTAGATTGGAGAATTGGTTTGTGTAGTAAGGATCACTGCTATGACAACCACTTATGAGAAACACTAGGAAGCATGGGACCAGAGCATAGTGATGCATCCTGTCATGCCCAAGTGTTCAGAAAGATATGGTAAACAAATGAAATAAGCACACTCACATTTTAAACAAAAATTTATGCCCAAGTATATTCTTAAATCATTTGAAGATATCTGATGATCAAGGTCACATTAACCTTCCTTCAATAGAGCTATGCTTCCTAAGGAACAAATCACTTTCTAGTGTGGTGAGGTCAAATTAGTGTCAAGACACTAATGTCAGAAGCCCATAGAACTTCCTGAATCCAAAGCCACTTGCAAGAATCTAAGCAGTCAGCATTTATCAAAATCTAATCTGTTCTAAATCAGTTTGGGGTAAGATGAAGTTTTAAATTATTGATTTTTTAATGACGCATAATTTTCTCCATAATTACAAAGAAAAACATACAATGGCTTGCCTTTTTAAAAAATAAAAAATTGAAAAATATATAAAGTAACCCAAAGTATCAAGTGGAAATTTTATCTATTTCTTTCAGCCTTTGTAGAAAAAGACGAGGTTTTTTACTTTTTTAAAACATACACAGAAATTCGATGATATCTGTTCTCTATTATATACATAGAAATGTTTAACTTAGAGTAAAATCTAAAAACAGACAACTTGGGAAAGTTGAAAGGAGAGGATTGGGATGGTAGTTACCTACTGGACTTTATATCATATGTAACTCACTATAAAGAAATACCAGAAAATATCAAAATGTATCTGGGTTCAAATGGGGAGCACACTGTGATTTCCAATGCCAAAGTCAGCTTAACTTCAGCAGTTGATACATTTTGAAGCATCACAGCAGTTGACATGGCATGGTTTGCTACTAATTTTGTTTTCCTCATACTATATTGCTTCACAAGTTTGCTAGACATATAATGAACAAAATTAGTATAATTGTAGTGCTGTGTTAACTGCTGTTGAAATCCCATGGAAAATAATTTAGGTTACTTATTAATGCCATTTGTGATCAGAACAAGTCTTGAGACTCATGTGATAACTACCAATCTTTTTGCCTCCATGATAGGTTTATGACTTAAAAACAAAAAAAAACTCATTTAAATGAAGGCTTTGCCTGCTCTTTGCCCTTGTCAATCTCATAGTTGCCATTAGCAACAAAACATTTGCAGCGTGATTCCAGTATACAATCTGGGCACCCCACTGTGTAAAGTTGGAGTGCATTTTGTGTATTTTTTCATTAAGTATCAGAGACATAAATTTCACTATGTTTTAATTGTTCTCTCCATGGGATTTGATGCTTTTGTTGATTAAATTAATATTTATATATGTATGCAAATACATATATAGATACAGGAGATACACATACATTAACATACTATAATATATATATAAAGCACATGTATAATCACATATATGTATGTATTAGGTTTTTTTTTTTTGCAAATAAAAAAAGAAGCAAGCAAAACAAGACTGACCTGACCTACCTGTACTTGGTTCACATTCGACAAAGTCTTCATCATCACTTGAACATTCAGCAGATGAAACAAGATCATCTGATGTTGGCTATTGATGTTAACAAAATGGGAGGAGCAGAGAGAAAAGAGAAAACAAAGGAAGATAAGGACACTGATACACAAGTACATCAAATCTTTTTGACTGCCCCCTCCCATCATTACAGATATTTCTCTTCTCTGGTAAAGATTGTCCTGTAAAGCTGAAGCCATCAAAGTAGGCGCAGAGACTCAAGCCTTTTCCACTTCAGAAAAATACACTGTGCTGTCCACTCTGATTTCTGGACGAGGAATCAAAAGGAATGAGGTTGCAAAGAACAAGCATAGGAAGGACCCGGCCCGCACTACAGGCACTATGCTTTCAGAGGGATTCAGTGCATATGGCACATGGTCTCATGTGCACTGTTGGGGGGCTGTGAATCTATAGGCAGTATAATTAATGAACGCTGTGGAATGCTATTCATTCAGTACAGCATAATAGCTTCTCTTGCTTGCAGCGATTCCTTCTCATAATTGCTGCAATTAGCTGAATTAGTAATGTGGACCAGCAGAGTGATACCACACAACAGCTCCTGGACATGGGTAAGACTCTTGCAGAGGCGAGAAGAACAAATTCTCGGCACAACACTAGTTCAACTTAAATCTGTTTAGTTTTTAATCCTGCAGAAACTTCCTAGCACTGTGGAATTTGTTAGAGGAAAAACATAGACTCCTAGGCATTAGATGTAAAATGAGCCTTGGCATAGTAGGTAAGAAAAAGTTATATGCATAACACAAATGCATAACACTAGTATGCAACAAATACTAGTGAAAGAATAATAAAGGCATAAGTGACTTTTATCCAGTAAACCCCAAACACATTTTTGTTATATATAGAAATACCCAGTAGATTGCAATTTTTAAAACAAATATTCATTCCTTTTCTTCATGTCAGTAACAGTAACCAAGTTGGTGCTTTATTATTCCCAACCTATTGAAGCCTGGATCTATGTTTAAGAAGAAAGGGTGTTAAATAGATGCCTTCTTTGTCTATTGAACAAGTATTATAGTCAATTGCTATGATTGATATGGTTCTTATTAGAATCTACCCAAATCATCCATTGACAGTGAGGTGTTATACTTAAAAAGACTAGAAGTCAGAGAGGTTAGCTGACTTGCTGAGGGGCATACAACTATTAAGAAACCAAGTGACAGTTTACAAGATACATTATCACTATGCTTGTGGAACATAATAGCTCTTTCTATAACCTGTCTAATAGGTATTATAGGTTAGGGCTGAAGAGATGACTCACTTTTCAAAGGCTAGCATACAACCAAAAATAGATATTATAGGTTTAATGATGATCCACAATACCTCAGGATAGGACTTTATATTGGGCCTTAATGAGATAGGTCAGTTTTAATGAAGTCATTAGGGTAAGCTTAAATGCAATAGGATTAGTGTCTCTTTATAAAGAGGAAATTGAGGCACAGACATAGAGAGGGAGAGGTGTATATTGAAATTCAGAATAGAGAAGGGCATTTTCAAGTCAGGGAAACAAGGCCACAAGAGAAGGTGACTTTGCTAACAACTGTTGCTAACATGCCATGATTTACTGGCCTTTATGTACTCTTATCATCTGCAACTGAATGCCAAGAATAACACTTTGTTCCTTAAGTTTATTTGATTGTGGTATTTTACCATAGCAACAGAAAAACAATGAATACAATGACCATTGACCATTCTACTTTTCAGTGGCTAAGCATAATGCATTTATAACCTGTCTGCATGTGTGAAATTCCAATATTGTTTGTGATATCCCCCCAAAAAACTAAAAATTAAATTAAATTAAATTAAATTAAATTAAATTAAATGTTCACTACCACACAACCTAAACCGTTTTGATCATTGGAGACTTCCCATTTTCTACATATTATATATGATTATATCAAGCTATCTTCATTCATTTATTCACTTATGCATTCATTCATGGTGAGTTCATTTGCTACCTTAGCTATTTATCACACATCTATGAATGAGGCACTGTAACAGTGATGAAGGATTAAGTGAGAAGTGAAGCAGCTGGTCTGCTCTGGGAAGTCAGTCTCCGATGAGACAGCCATGTCAACAGGAAAATTCAACATGGTAAACTGAATGCTGTGACAAGAGTTAACCTGAGTCGCCAAGGGAACAAGTAGCAGGAGACTAGGTAAATCTCCTAGACAGGAGGGAAGTAGAAAAGAAGCCCTTAGGGGCAGACAGGAATGAAGGCTGCAGAAGGATTACAGGCTGGAGAAGGAGAAGGGCATTTCAGGTGAAAATAAACATTATTGGTTAAGGGTCAGAAGTATGAAATAGCTCTGTTTGTTTACACATCTGTAGGTAGTAGGAGAAGAAAAGAGGTTTGGAATGACAAAATGACAGCAGCTTGAATGACAGTTTCTACCTTACAAACCTCAGCTAACTAGCATGGATTTAATATGTTGCCCCACCAGTCACCTCTCCTTCTTCCCCTCCCTGCATCCCATCAGGGTCACCCATCACAGTCCTTTAGAAGATGACACACATGATTTTGGAACATGGTCCCTTGCCAGCCAAAGCACTGCTGGTCTACATTAAATACCTTAGGCCCTTTCCTATGGAGAATAAAATATCCTTTAGCCCTTATGTATTAACCGTGTTTTATATCAAAATAATAATTCCTATTACTCTATTTTAAAACATATTTCATATGTCTAATCCACATGTTGGAATTGTTCACTTCTGTACTAGGTCTCATAAAACTAAAGATATGTATTATAATAACTTTCAAAAAATATGTCTATGCCGAATACCTTTTTTATTCCTTTCCTGGTAGAAATTTTTTTTATTGCACTTATATTTTTTTCTACTGGTGCTTATTAAAGTTACCTTAGAATAAAATTGGGGTTGAAGAAAGCTCAAAACTCTGCCTAGGTAAATTTATAGATGTGTTTACCTTCCAATTCTCCCGGTTCCACAAACCTGACTTCTCATTTTCCTTCTGTGAGTTATTGTTTCTGTAATCACCTAATTATTTATTCTGCAGAGCCCTTCTACATCTTAGCATGGGGACATATTTCCACCATTGTCACCATTGTCCATTGTCATCTTCTATGTATTATACTGAGAAGTGTTTAATGTCATAATCAGGTACAATCCATAGCACAGTCACCATGCCCTTTCTCCTGACTGCCCAACTGTCTTTTGTGACTTCAAATTCTAACCTTTAGCCCTTTATCTTAGACCTGCAGTAGGCTAATTGTTTAGGGCTCAGCCATTTTTCTTGCAGTTTCTTGGAAATCTGATTATTTGACCAAGATTAAGTGTAGGATAAAATAAGTCCTGCCACAGGACAGCTTTATGAAATTATAAATAACACACTCATGAATGATGATCTCCATTCTTCTAGTGAAAAGGGAAAAGAGAAAAGCCTATAAATATCCCAAAGCTCCACAGAAAACATCCATATATCTCAGCAGCTGCTCCATTCTAAACAGAACTAAATCCTTTCAAATGCTCCTGGTTTAAGCATTTTCCCTTTATATTTCTATTCCAAGAGTAAGAGTTGGAGATTGAAGTGTCTCATGGCTGGTAGCAGAGGAGGCCTACGTACAATTCATTCTGTATTTAAGTATTGAACACCAGAGTTACATTTTAGTTACCAACAACCGAGTGACTATAGGCTAACCTATGACCTCAAGTGAGATCATAAAAGTTTGAACACTTTTTAAGTTCAGAGAGAAATATTTATTCACTAAATTTTCCCTATCACCTACTCTAATTTTTGATGAACATCAACATACACACATCCCTAGATGGTTATTTTTTGGACATAAAATAATAGATATTTAAAATCATGAAGCTTGAGACATTAAGAATTGTTAGTTTTATTACTTTTCTTCTAGCCCCATCATTTCAGTGAATTCAAGCCTCAATAAAGAAACAAGGTCAGAGTGCAGCAAGATGGATGAATGTACCACTTAGTCTCTCATTGTATTTGGGTTGAGCATGCTCTGTGTTGTCATCCTCAATAGAGGAGGCTGACATTGTATGACAAAATGAAGCATAAATAATTTTAGCTTGCTGTACTCAGATATGGAGCAAGGGAGCATAGCATGAGGTAAGCATAAATGATGGAGCCAAAACGATAATATTACAGTCTGGCAAAGAGGTTATCGTCAGTGACCATTGCTTCTTTTGTGTATGTGCCCAACTGTCTGGATTGCAGCAAAGTATTGTGAATTTTCACTCTCTGCCATGCTTGAGGTTTTTCAACACATCACTTCCTTCCTCTCTTCTCTCTGCCAACCAATAGTAATAAATTGCAAAGTAAGACATGTTTAGAATGTGTATTTTGGTTCACATTCATGGGGAATAGAAAAACTTTAAGGGAAACATTCCTGACTTAAAGACACTACATTTACTCTAAACTAGACTCTTCACTCAGAAATCCTAGCTCAAAACACATGTGATCTGGTAGGTATTTTTGTTTATGTTTGCTTTACTTACTTAATCTTTCATCTCTACTACAAATATGTATTAATTGCTCATGATATGATATGGCAATACTGTGCTTGACATCTGCCAGGCTCAATCTTTGTCCTTATGGGGTTTACAAACTTTTGAACATGAGATAGGAAAAATAAACTCCATGGGTGGTTTACAACCCTATGAGTGCCTTGTTAAAACTTTCCAATTAACATAGAATACCTACTGTAATAAATATTTATTCCTTGTTACTAAAAACAGTAGACTATACAGGGATTCAAGAAAATTCTGCTTCCCTCAGAAATCTGCCCACCTTCAATTTTCTTCTTTTCTATAATGTACTCAGTAAATAGTAATAAGGAATGGCATGACTCTTGCTAACGAATTAGCCATTGTAAAAATCTTATTGCAGATTCCAGATTTAATTAATGGCAGAAAAGCCAAGCTGAGATGAGCTATATACTGTGCTAAAGATTGGGATCTTCTGTATTATGATTGAGGTCTTTAGAGATGGTACAAAGCATGACTTGGTGTTTTGTTTTCTTTTACTCTCCACTTTCAAG